GGATGAATGGATGGATGGATGGATGGATGGGTGTATGGATGGATAGATGGATGAGTGGATGAATGGATTGATGGATGGGTGGGTGGATGGTGAGTGGATGGAAGGATGGATGGATGGATAGATGGATAGGTAAATGGATGGATGGATGGATGGATGGGTGGATGAATGGGTGGGTGGGTGGATGGATGGTAGATGGAGAATAGATGAGTGGGAATGTGACACAAGTTCCTTCTCAGAGATTCAAAAGAGCCAGGACACCACACAGAGTGCTCAGGGCTTTGGGCTCCCTGGGGCAAAGAGTTAGAAGAGAAGACAGTTGGGGAAACCCTGTAAGCACCCGTGGCCCCTGCACTCCCACATCGTCCACGGACATGTACCCAGTTCTCTCCTGTGGGAGCAGTGCCCATCCTGTCGCTCACACAGTGTCCCTGTTCCATCAAGCTGCCGGCCAACACTGGACCAGACCCCGGCAAACAGGATCTGGCCGCCAGATGTCAGCCACGACTAATGAGGCCAGCCTGCTGGTCACTAATTGGCTGAGGCTCTGGGCATCAGGGGCAGATGGAACCAGGGATGATGGGACAGCCAGGGCGGCCCCCAGCCCGGGACTCGTGTCGCCCAGTCGCGCTGCACCAGGGCAGTAAGGAGCAGGGGCGCTCGGCCGATCCGGGGCTGCCCGCTCCCGTCTAAATGCCTGGCAGCTTTCCAAGGCTGCCCAGGGGCTGCGCACCTCCCCCCACGGGCCGGGGCTCCTCCACGGGTGTGGGAGGCGGGGGTCGTGCAGGGGCTGGCGAGGGCTGCCGTTGGGCATGACTGCTGGACCAGAACTAAGAGCCAGCCTTCCCGTGTAAGTCGGAAACGAGTGCGCTCCCGGACGATCACGGTGGCGAGCCTTGCCCCGTGGAGGGGGATGGAGTTACAGCCGGTTCGCCCATAAACTTGTTCGAGCGATTTACGAGGCCTGGCCGGCTGGGGTGGGGGCGGGGCAGCCTCAGAGGCCGGCTTCTCACCCGAGTCTGAAGGGCGGTAACGTCCTTGCGTTAATAGCAAATGCAACCTTCGCGGCAGATGCCGAGCTGCAGGGAGCATCGCCTCCGCTGGAGTGGCAAGGACGCCTGTGGACTCCGACGT